GTAGTAATGGTAGCAGTAGTAATAGTAGTAGTCGTCGTAATCGTCGTCGTAGTAGTAGTAGTAGTAGTAGTAGTAGTAGTAGTGGAAGCGGTAGTAGTAGTAGTAGTAGTAGTAGTAGTAGTAGTAGTAGTAGTAGTAGTAGTAGTAGTAACAGTAACAGTAACAGTAACAGTAGTAGTAGTAGTAGTAGTAGTAGTAGTTGTAGTAGTAGTAGTAGTAGTAGTAGTAGTAGTACCAGTCGTAGTAGTAGTCGTAGTAATAATGGTAGTAGTAGGCAACGGACCGGCCTCCAGGCCGGGGCCCCCGCCCCACGGACCGGCCTCCAGGCCGGGGGGTCCACGGACCGACCTCCAGGCCGGGGTTCCTCGCCCATTCCAGCGCACCCTCACGAGGATCGCGCCTCACACGGAGCTCCAACGAAAGCTCCAGCCAGGGTGATCTTCTCTGATTCCATGCTCATTTCGGCGCACCGCTCCCGAGGATCGGGTCGCACCGGGAGCTCCAGCTACAGCTCCAGCAAGGATGAGCGTCTCTTGTTCCACGCCAACTTCGCCGTACCCCTCATAAAAGTCGTGCCTCATAGGGAGGGTCAGCTGCAGCTCCAGGGAGGGTGATCCTCTCTTGTTCCTCACGGATTCCGCTGCTTCTTCACGAGGATCGTGCCCCACAGGGAGCTTCAGCTTCAGCTCAAGCGCGGGTGACAATCTGTGGTTCCTCGCCGCTCTCTTCCCCAATTTTCCTCGTCCTCCTCCACCTCCTTCTCCCTTTCCCTGTCCTCCTCCTCCTCCTCCTCCTCCTCCTCCCCCCTTTCCAGGCCAAGGGGTCCACGGACCAGCCTCCAGGCTGGGGTTCCTCGCCCATGTCGGCGCACCCCTCACGAGGATCGCGCCCTACAGGGTGCTCCAGCTATAGCACCAGCGAGGGTGACCCACTCTGGTTCCACGCCCATCTCGGCGCACCCCTCACGAGGATCGGGTCGCACAGGGAGCTCCAGCTGCAGCTCCAGCAAGGGTGAGCGTCTCTTGTTCCACGCCAACTTCGCCGTACCCCTCATAAGAGTCGTGCTCCACAGGGAATGTCAGCTACAGCTCCAGGGAGGGTGATCCTCTCTTGTTCCACGCCGCTCTGCGCTGCTTCTTCACGAGGATCGTGCCCCTATTCTCCTCGTCCTCCTCCAGCTTCTTCTCCCTTTCCCTCTCCTCCTCCTCCTCCCATTCCCTCGTCTCCCCCCGCCCAGCCCCACGGACCACCCCTCACGAGGAGCGCGCCCTACACGGAGCTCCAACTACAGCTCCAGCGAGGGTGAATGTCTCTGGTTCTGGCCAAATTTCGCCGCACCTCTCACGAGGATGCTGCCCCACAGGGAGCGTCAGCTACAGCTCCAGCGAAGGTGGCCCCCTCTGGTCTCACGACAAAGTCGGAGCATGATGATGATGATGATGATGATGATGATGATGATGATGATGATGATCATGATCATGATGATGATGATGATGATGATGATGATGATGATAAAGTTGATGATGATGATGAAGTTGATGATGCTGCTGCTGCTGCTGATGATGATGATGATGATGACGCGATGATGCTGATGATGGCAAACGCGATGACGGCGAATATGCTGACGATGGTAATGATGACGACGATGACGGTGACGAGGACCACGTTAATGGTCATGATGATGACCATCATGTCGATGATGATGATGATGATGATGACGATGGTGATGATGAGGATGATGATGATGACGATGATGATGAATGATGGTGCTGATGATGATTATGATGATGAGAAGGAGAAAGATGAGAGCGGGACGCGGACGAGGGGAGAGGAAGGGTAGGAGAGGGTTGGAGAGGGTGGAGATGGGGGTCGGAAGATCAAAGATCAAGCATTGTTCGAAGATCAAATATCGAAATTCGAAGATCAAAGATCGAGGAGACTTGCATGGCATCATCTCCTCCACCTCCTTCTCCCTTTCCCTCTCCTCCTCCTCCTTCCCTTTCTTTGTCTCCTCCCACCCAGCCCCACGGACCAGCCTCCAGGCCACGGAGTCCACGGACCGGCCTCCAGGCCAGGGGGTCCACGGTCCGGCCTTCAGGCCGGATCCCGCCATTGCCCACATATGTGTTGCGCAGCAAGACGCAAGCTGCGCAACACATACGTGGGCGTCTCAATATATCTTTTGTCGGATTTCGTTTCCCGCCAGAAAACTCCATGGACCACCTTAAGGGCAACCGTCTGAAAACCCCCGGCCTGGAGGCCGGTCCGTTCGGACCGGCCCCGGCCTGGAGGCCGGTCCGTTGCCTAGTAGTAGTAGTAGTAGCAGTAGTAGTGATAATAGTAGTAGTAGTAGTAGTAGTAGTAGTAGTAGTAGTAGTAGTAGTAGTAGTAGTAGTAGTAGTAGTAGTAGTAGTAGTAGTAGTAGTAGTTGTAGTAAAAGTAGTAGTAGCGGTAGTAGCAGCGGTAGTAGCCGCCGGAGTAGTAGTAGTAGTAGTAGTAGTAGTAGCAGCAGCAGCAGCAGCAGCAGCAGCAGCAGCAGCAGCAGCAGCAGTAGTAGTAGTAGTAGTAGTAGTAGTAGTAGTTGTTGTAGTAAAAGTAGTAGTAGCGGTAGTTGTAGCGGTAGTAGCCGCCGGAGTAGTAGTAGTAGTAGTAGTAGTAGTAGTAGTAGTAGTAGCAGCAGCAGCAGCAGCAGCAGCAGCAGCAGTAGCAGTAGTAGTAGTAGTAGTAGTAGTAGTAGTAATAATACTAGTAGTAGTGGGACATCCCGGGGGGGGTTTGGGGTGGGGCTCGCCTTGGGGGCCAGCGCCGCCCCAAGCACGTCGCGCGGATTGCTGCCCTTGGCTATTCGAAGAACGCCCTCGTCTGCCCCCTCCCCCCCCCTCCCTGCTGGCATGTGCTGGTGGGCTCGCAGGCAAGGGCGGTGACGGGACAAGGAGGGGGCGAGGAACGGGAGGAAGGAAGACCTCCGCGGCGTCCAAAAGGGGGATTCGCAGATCATGGCCCCAGCCGTGTGTGCGAACGAGGGGGAGGCCAGAGGACGTGTTGAAAGACGTAGGGGGCAAGGACATCCAAGGAGCTAGCATAGCCCCCACCATGATACCCCTCCCGTCCGTAGCAGGAGAGCCCAGAAACGGATCGATGAGTCGGATCGGCGATCGAAATGAACCTGATCGGCGGAAATCAGCAGCCGAGTCGGGAAAAGTCGAATCGGAGGAATCGAAACGAGCCCTGCCCTAGTCATCAGCCTCTCCTGGCCGCTCCCGAAGAAGAGAAGGGTGACCCCGGCTCTCGTGGGGAGGCTCAGGCGGGCCATATGGCACCCCTGGAGGGCCCCAAGGGGGCCCAGAGTGGTGCGAAAGCTGAGGGCACCTTTTGGCCAGGATCGCCTCTGGCAACCTCTGCAGAAGAAATGGACGGGCCCTGCGTCATCGTCTTAATTTTCGTCGAATACTTCTCGAGAATACGTATTGTTGATCTCCGGAAACGGTTCCGCGCGCTCTCGCCTCCACGCCGGCTGCATTTTCTCTGAAAACGACGCTCCCATTAGAGCATTGGCTTGAGTGTAAAAGTGTGCCCTTGGAGGCCTGGCTACGACAACGGCGCCCGCTCAATACTCCCTCACAATTCACCCCGAGACACCCTGGCCAGAGAGGCCCCCGAACTCGGGAACTGCGCTCTCGCTCGAGCTTTCCTCCAAATTCAGTCACGTTGGCGGAGGCCCAGCCACGACGACAAGGGCTCCTGCTCGATAATCCCTCACGATTTACTCCAATAGCCCCTGGCCATGAAGGCCCCCGAAGTCAGGAACAGCGCTCTCGCTGGAGACGTTCTCGCAATTCTGTCAAATTGGTGGAGGACCAACTGCGACGACAAGGGCTCTCGCTCGATACTTCATCAAGATGTATTCGCAGAGGCCCTTGCCAGAGAGACCCCCGAACTCACGAGTGGCGCTCTCGTTCGAGATTTTCTCGCACTTCAGGGGAGTTGGTGGAGGCCCAGACACGGCGACAAGGGTTCCCGTTCGATATTTCTTAATCTGTATTCCAAGTCCTCCGGCCTGGCCAGAGAGGCCCCCGAACTCAGGAACGGCGCTCTCGCTCGAGAGTTCCTCGCACTTCAGACAGTGGCCGACAATGAACAATGAAAGGGGGTGCGATCGAAGACGAAGTGTGCGGGTATCGAGGATTGGGATCTACAGAATGCGAATCACGCGTGCCAGTCAGAGCGAACAGTCCTAAAATATCGTCGTCGTTGTTTGTCGTCGTGGTGGTCGTCGTAACTGGCACCGCCGCCCTCGTCCTCGACGCCGTCGACGACGTCATCGTTATCAACGATCAACGTGGCAGGAGGCCTCAGAATCAAATGAATCGGTACTTTGGATCGGCGATCGACATGAATCGGATCGGCGGCGGCAGCCACGACTGGAGAAGTCGAATCGGCGAAACTCGTCAGGCAAGTGAGGCTTGCATTGGGAAGCCGAGGTCCAAATCGGAATCTGAAATCAAGTCGGATCGTGATCGGACTCGAACGAAATCGAATCGAATCGAGTCGGAGGGACCGGAATGAGCCCTGACGTGGTCGTCGTCGACGTCGAAGCCGTCATCGTCGTCGTCTCCTTATCTCGTCCCTGAATGCAGCGCACCTGCTGATCCGCATGGCGGGGACCACGATGGAGGCTGGCGAGTGCACGGTAACTTTGCCCTCATGCACCGCTGCCTCCAAAGGGTGCGCCCGCGGCCCTGGAGCGGGGTAAGATGGTGAGTGCTGGCAGTCGGCCTGGGCCCGCCAAAAACGCAGATAGAAGGCGCACCCTTGTGAGCGGGCATGGGCGAGGAGGAGGGGGGCGGGAGGGGACGAGGAGCGGAGGGAGAGGAGGAAGAGGACATTCGGGGAGGAGGATGAAAGATGCTGCTGGGGGGCCAGGACCAGCCCGGCCTCTCCAGCGCGGATGTGACGGCGGGCAGCACGAGACGGTCGACCGCTCAGCCCTGGAGGTCGCT